GTTTATCAAATAGTTTTTTCTCAATCTTGTTCACATCTAGCCTTTGATGACTGGGAGTTATGGTAATGAAGACCAACATATATGAAAAACAGAAGAGGACTGCCATAGTTGCAGATTGAAATTGTTAAATATACAAAATCCAAACTGCTATAAATTTAGTTTAATATATTTTCACAATATGCATGGTTTAATAATGTCTTGAAATGTAGAATGAAACACTTTTTAAAATTATTGACTTTAAGGATGTGACACTGCAATCTGTTCCCTTAATATTCCAAGCCTCAATTTTATTCACAGTTGAAATGCTGAAAATTACTTCTAATTGTCATCCTTTGTATGCATGGTACACCAATCAAAGAAAATGGAGGGGTGTGTGTGAGTGCGTATGCGCGCGTGTGCGTACAGAGTATACAGGTAGGGAAAAAAAACCAAACCCAGAATGTTTGTTTGAATTTTAAGAATATGCATAGCTAATGAAAATATTAAAATTTTAGGATTCCTTAAATATATATATTGTTTAAATGCAACAGTTTGCTGAAAACATATTGTGTAATCACTAAATTTTATAACTATTATTTTTCATAGAGCAAGTGATCAGGCTTGCTCTATGAATAAAAAACAAGGTGCACGGTACTTGAAAGGGACAGATTCACGAAATGCATTGGTCTAAGTGAAACACTCTTTCTTGAGTTATTAGAGTAACCATGTCCTCTAGAACAGTGTTTCTCAAATTTGGAAATGCTAAAATATGTATGGACCCCACCTCCCAGAATTCTCCATATAGCATGCTAGCTATGAATTCTCAAAGCTGAAATCTACACATCTTAAAGCTGCCAAGAAACACTGCTCTAGAATATTGGATGTACCTTATTTGAAGGCAGCTCATACAGGTAGTGCTCAACTTATAACCATTCATTTAGCAACTGTTCAAAGTTATAGTGGCCTTTAAAAAGTGACACATGGCCAATCTTTGCACTTATGATTTTTGCAACATCCCGAAGATCACATAATCAAAATCTGGATGCTTGGCATCTGGCATGTATTTATGGCAGTTACAGCATCTCAGGTCATATGATTACCATTTGTGACTTTCCCAGATAGATCCAACAAGCAAAGTCAATTGGGGAAGCCCAATTTGTTTAATGACTGGATGATGCACTTAACAACTGCAATGATTCATTTAATAACTATGACAAAAAAAATCATTTAATAACTATGACAAAACATTAGACATGATTCATTTAACTACCTTACTTTGCAATGGAAATTCTGATTCCAATTTTGATAGATAATGACTGCATGTATTGTATCTGCACGTATATATACATTAACTATTTCATTCCATTAGCAGTCCCAGTGAAAGTGTTGACTATATATGTGCACAAATGAACACATATTAGGAAAAGCTTTTGAAGAAACTGCTAGTAGCCACTTTAACTCTTAGGAGAAACATAAGTTGTTTTTCTTTTGAATTCTAATATTTTATGGAATGAAATGTCATTCATACATAAATATTTAATAATTAACAGGACGTGGAACAACAAATTACAAAAAGTGACTTTAGATTGATACGGGTGTCTGAGGTTTGGACCTCAAAATGGATTGTTCCAACCATTTGTTGATGTAAAAATGCCCCTAATTCAAGATCAAGAAATCTATTTTGTATCTGAAGCAAAACTGTTTCAAATTTGAAACACTTCTGCAATGGTTCAAACTTCCATATTGCAACACAAATAATTCAAAATGTTTTGTACCTCCCTATCTGTTAATAATACAAATGGATATGATAGTGTGAATGTTGTATCCAAAATGGTTTTTCCAAAGGAAAAAATTAAGGTATAAAGTTTGAACTAGAAAATTAGTTTTAATTTTTTATAATGTGTATACACTTATCACAACAAGAATTCTTTAACATTTTAAATGATTTATTTAAAATCTTTTTCATTAGGAATGGCACACAAAGAGAGTTTCCAGAAGGATAGCTGTATTAAATTTTCTGAAGGAAAAACATGAGAAAACTTTAGAGGCTACTATATTCATTACTGCCTAAGCTTCATTCATTTATTTCAGCAGATGAGAGGGGACTGCTGACCATGAGTTAATAGGTTTTCCCTGTAGCATATTCAGCTTTTTATAAAAACAAACAAACAAATCTATACAGACCTGCCCAACTTGATATCTGAGTGCTTCTCCTTAGGAAGAGGACAGTCAGATTTTGTTTAATAGTTGACATCAGTCCAGAAAACATATAATCCCACAAATGTTGTTCTAGGAATTACTTGAAGAAGTTGAGCTTATCATGTGAAAATATGCAAAGGAATATGTTTTCTTGTAGTGTAATTATCTGGGTAAATAAGACATGGCCATGACTAACTATTCCTATTGATTTGAATGAATTTGAAATATTACCAATTTGTCCTATACTGGAGGTATTAGTTGTTAATGTGTGATTTTTAAAAAATAAACTTAAAATGGTCACCTTGTATTTCTTGACTGTAAATTCCTCAGGATTACTATCAATTCTATAATATTTCATGAGCAAATAAATTTCTTCCATGCTAATTTTTAAAACATTTGGAGTCAAATCATATCCATGGTTAAAAACTTTGAATAACCAGAATCAAAATTTGGGAAAACTGGTATTTATTTATACTACATTTTTCAAGATGATGAAATGGTTGATGCACAAATTAAGACAAATATGATGAGGATAAAATGAACATGCACAGATAATTTTTCCATATTTTTTACAATGTGTGATGGTTAATGTGGAATCACATAACAAACCAAAAATAGACTTTGTGTAATTTAAACTGTGGAATAAAATCATGGTTCTGAATCCATTGTTTGAACAGTAATAAGCAAACGTATTGCCAATATCAAATAAAAAGAACTAGCTTTAAGAATTAATCAAATTTACACAAAGTCAAGTAGGTGAAAGGAAATCATTTGAGAAAAAAAATCTTTATTTGTGAAAGAAATATATAAATTTGTATTAGGCAAAATAGGGAACATACAAACAAAATATTTTACAACATGAACAAGAAATCATCAAAAGTGTAAATTATAATAAGTACAATAGATTTTAAATGTGGTAATAAAAAATAAAATTTCTTAAACCCAGTTTTCTTTTTTCATTGGTTTTAGCTAATTTTTGGAAAAATTTAATAACATAGAAATCAGTTGGCTAAAATAGGGTATGTTTTCTCAACTGCATTATAAAAATACCTTTCTTTCTTTCTAGTTATATGTACTTTTGAAACATTTTATAGAAAACCTATGTTCAGGTTCTTATCCAAACAAAATATAATTCAAAAATGCAGTTTTTCTGCCTCTGTGTGCTAAAAGACTGTAAGAAAGAAACAAAAATGTGTAGGATCAGAACATACTTTATATGTCTTCTTTATATTAACATATAACATTATACATATTATATGCCTACTTGAGGAGTTTTGTTCAAGAAAGAATAGCTTCCAAAGATGTATTATATTCTAAAATTTCTTAATAGTCTGTCTGTACATAATATTAAGAGAAATACTGTAGCTGGTCTCTACTGGGGGGAAAAATGTGCCCAAAGTTCAACAATGAATTAAAAGCTTCTATCCCATCTTCCTCCTCCTGTAGCACATATTTAAGAAGTTGAATGGTGAAGGACTTCCTGAATGATGGAGTTCTCCATTTTAGATTTAATAAATGAAAACATTTGTGGGACAGATATTGAGAAGTGGGGGGAATAGCACCAAATAAACAATCTAAAGTCTAAAGAAAATAATAAACCAATATATGTCACTGGAAAAGGCAACAGTTGTGGTATAGGTATATAGTTTAGAATTTAGAACTGTTTCACAGATTACCATTTTCTTATCCTGGTATTTCCTCTGTGAAAGAAACTCATGTATACCATAGACGTTCTGTCTTTTTTACTGTGATACATATAATGAATTAGGTAAATATCTACATTTGTGACAAGAAATAACATGGATACATATAAACCTTATGCTATGAATTTTGTCCACTGTAAGAAAATAATCAATTATAAACACATTGTATTTGCCTGTCTATCTTATGGGTATAGGTATATACATTTATATACGCGCACTCACATGAAAAATGTTAGTCTGTACACATTGCAAACTTTTATAATGTTTTCTTTAAAAAAATAAGGTTAAAATGTAAATACTACAAGCTTATATTAGAAGAATATTCTTCATTTGGCAAAATACTCTTGTGAAAAAGTATACTGAATCTTAAAATACCTTAAAATACAAACAATATAACAAAAAATTCAAAATTCATTCCAGGTCAATCCTGAACTATGCATAAAGGGATGTTAATACAATGACTCTTTAGCTATACAGAAGTAAACTACAACAGAGTAAACTTATCAAAAGGAAATAGAAAAGGAAATGTTTCGCTGGAAAACTTCCTTAACAATTTCCCTATTCACCGTGCTATTTTCTCTTAACATAAATCAACTTACAGAGTGCCATTTTTTATTCTCAAAACAGAGAATAAAACATTAGACTCTGCTTCTCTTTGCTCTGTTCTTACATTCCAAGTGCATGAATTACTTGGACTTCCTGTTTCCACAAGGCACTTCTGTCTACCTCCACACCATTATTATTCTCCAGGAAAAAAGAAGTGACTGACATAGCTCTGAGTTAAGTCAGAAACTGTTTGTACTGCATATCAAATTATCTCAATGATATAAGCATTTGGATAAATAGGAATCTGAATAATCACAGAAGCACCTATGCTTTGCAGAATGTCCCCGGTTTCTTTCAGGGACTGATGTTCTGTGTAATGAATGGTTGTTGCCTTTTAAACAAAGAACAAGGTGGATGCCAAACATACTGACACTGTTATTAGCATGTAAACTTTTCTGCTACAGTGTGTGCTGTGCTGTCATTTGAGAACAGGTCAACTAACAAGAAAAGATCTAATAACTTAAAAGTTAGGTTCCTTGCTACAAATATCTTCAAATGGAATAGAGAAAAAAATACTTTTAAAAAAAAATCACATAAACTTAATGAAAATGGAGAGGAAGAAAATTCATTTTAAAAAATACATTCAGTTTTTTGTATTAGTTTTCTACATTGGTTCCCTCATATTATATACAAAGCTCAGATCACTGGTATTTGGACCAGTATCTGTGTAACAAATGAAAGATTTCTCTCCCTTTAACAGTATGTAGGGCTACTAGTGTGCATATACAAAATGAATAAATTGTACATTAGGCAATATCAAAAAAGGCTTAGAGAAAGGCAAGAATGAATATAAAAAGCACAAATCTCAGGTTTGGTCAGTAGTTGATCTCCACAGAAAATTTATACAACAATGAGTTTCTTTCTGCTAGATCTAATAAGGCAGAATCCACTGTAATTAATATGACTTCTACTAATTACTAAAAGGTGTATATACAACAGCAAGAATTCTTTAATTAACAAGCACCTTTTCACTATACTTAAAGTATGGGCACATATATGTTCTTTATTATGCTGATGTTAAATTGCATAACTCTTTGGGATTCTGAGGATGGAAAAAACAATAAACATTCTCTTTTCAGGAATTTTAAAATGTTAACAATGATGTTAACATTTAAAATGTTAACATCATTGTACTCAAACAATCACTTTAATGATACAATCTGGAGCTAAATCTGTGCCTGTTACCTGTTGCATAAAAGCAGACCGCTCCCCAGATTCCATTTGCTGATTTTGAATACCATCATCACTGTCCTTTGGTTCCTCTTTCACCTTCACAGCTCCAAAAGGTTTTCCCAAGTTCTGCAAAGAAATGCCACTGCTGTCATCCCTAATGCTGACACCAACAGAGGCAGCTCCTTCTTCCTGCATCAAATGCTCTCCTTGAAGTTCTTCTTCAGCTTCTTCCAAACTGCCAGGTTGTTTTAATTGTTCTATGGACTTAGAAAGCATCTGAAATAGAGAACAGGAATTGGATGAAAGAAGTAAACAGAGAAATATAAAGATAAAAAGCTACTTGGCTCAATTTTTTACAGTGGGATTAGATGAGCAATTTGTAGTACAATAATTTCATAAGAATAAACCACTTTAGATCTTTCAAATATAAAGTACTTAATGTGCAGTGGACAATAAAACTGAAACATAGCAAAATACACATTTTGTAAAATAATGTATATGTAAGAAATCCATTACTATATATACACAATTATATCCATACACTTGTTAAGCCAAGTTAATAAATATCAAGTAGTCATATCATATAATATCATAGAAAACATATTAATGTTTTTACTTTTAAATATAGCATTTTCTGTAATACGTGGTGTTCCATCCCAAGTAAGAAATGCATTAGCTATAAGATCATTAAATTATGAGCTTAAAATTGAATAATCACATAACTGATCAGACTTTGAAGATTTCAGGATGGCTGATGGAAGTTTATGGCACAGGGCGAGCACCCATAAAGCCCTTCATGGTAGTGGATCTGGATACTTGAGAGACCGCCTTCTGCCAATTACCTCCTCGCGACCCATTAGATCTCATAGACTAGGCCTCCTCCGAATTCCATCTGCCAGTCAGTGTCGACTGGCAACTACGTGGAGGAGAGCCTTCTCGGTAGTAGCTCCGACCCTTTGGAACGATCTCCCTGTGGAGATTCGTACTCTCACCACCCTCCAGACCTTCCGCACAGCCCTTAAAACCTGGCTATCCCGTCAGGCCTGGGGTTAAAGAATGTAACTCACCCCCACCCGAATGGTATGAATGTTGTGTTTTATTTTTACTTATGTATTGCTTTTATGTGCTATTGTTTGTATCCCCCTCCCCATTAGTTGTGAGCCGCCCTGAGTCCCCCCAGGGAAAAGGGCGGCCTATAAATAAATTTCAAATACAAAATACAAATACAAATACAAAATGCTTTTCCGATAGTTTGCCATCTCTGGCTGAGATAACTGGCAGGAGTAACAACATATCTATTAAGAGTCTGGAGCCAGAAACAACAGAGCTTTCCCTAAGTACACTTGCTTCTTGCTGTCCTCTACCCTTTGCACAAGGCTTGTTTTGCTTGGTTGTAGTCCAGCTATGATTTAGGGTAAAATAAGCTTAGCAGTTTGGTTTCAAATTCTAAATATTAATTTTATTTTAAATGTACTATATTTATTGGATGGTTTATAATAAATATAGTAGCTTTAAAATACAATTTAGAGTTTTTTCGGTCTTCTGTCTTTACAGACAACTGCGTAGAGACAACATTGGGGAATAATGGAAAAGGATTAATTAGTGTGTGTTTGATTAACATCATGTTAGATAAATTTCAACATCTTTTGTAACAACTCTGAAGGAGAAAACAGATAATTATTTTTCTATTTATACCTGGCTAACTTCATACTAGTTAACAATATCTATATAAACTTTATCTTAAAGGTATCAGAACACTCGCATAGTTTTCAGATTGCATCACAGTCATTTCTTAAATGATAGCAAACTGACATTGGCTTTCCTTTATTCCTTTAGTTATTATAAGTGAACTCTTTGCAAAGTTGACAGTCTTGGGCTGTTGGTATTTATGTTTACTTGTTGCGATTATATATGATTGAATAAATGCAAGAAGAAAATTAAAAGATCAGTAATAATTTCAATCGCGATCCCAGATTTGCTTCTGAAAACAATACCACATTTGGATAAGAGCAAGGAATAGCAGCATATTGATCTCGTCTAGTGTGATGATAAAACTCAAGATAGAAACTGTACAAGGAAACACACATTCTCCAATTGCTTCCAAAACTACTGCAATGTATCAGGTATGTAAAGGAACTAGCTGCTTATCTCCAGAATGGACAAGATATTCAGACATTTGAAACATCTGTTGCTGAGCCACCAGAAATGGTTGCTGCTGACTGGTCAGTCGAAAAATACAAGCTAAAACATCTGTGTGACAGATAATCATCTACAGCTACATGAGTCACTGATGCTGGACCATCTGTAAAACATTCCATATGCCAGTTGCTCGGCATCAGGTGGGTTACCCTTAAAGAGAATCCAAGAGAGAATGAGATCCAGATTACAGCACAGTTAGGAAACATATTTATTTCCTCACTGTACTCCTTCTGCATGCTTTCAAGTTCAAAGCGGATTTTTTTTTTCCTTCTGTGATGCATTATAGTGCTATTCTTGCAGACCTGATAAGGCAGATGTTGCAACCCTCATGTGACATCTGGCATAGTTCACATAAAGAGCACATTTACAGCAACTTTAGCACTGATACATGAAATAAATTCCAAGCTTTTTTTGTAAACCTACATAATAGATTTATATATGCAAGTGAATTTTCAGAACATGTGCACATATAATACACATACAGAGAAAGTAGGCACCGATGTCTGTTTCATCAACCCAACAGTAATATTTCCACAAGAACTGAAGAAAGTTAGATCATTTGTCTGCTGAAATATCCTTAATTTTTTAAAAAAAAATAACTTTTCATCTTCACCAAATATAACTGACTACTTCCTTTCCATGCAATTGTCACAAGATGTCTCAGGCTCCCAGTCAGAGATCCAGGGGGGAGAAACCCATATGGCTGTGGTAGGAAAGCAATTGGAGATCAACCTAATTTTGTAGAAGTGGGAAGGAATCAAGGATGCATTTATTTATTTCCTAGCAGCTGTAAAGGATGGAGAAACTGACAACTGAAAACAAGCACAAAGAAAAAGCTGGAAAAACCTTTCAAAATCAATAGTGCATTGTATTTGACCAAAGAGGCCAACCAGGCCATTAGACAGTCTCTAGGAAAGAATAAAATCCTATATTCATAAGATAGAACAGTGTTTCTTAATTCTGGAAACTCCAACAAGATGTGTGGAATTCTCAACAAGCTTGGAAGTCCACATGTCTTCAAGTTGCCTGATATGACCAATAGTAGGACATGGCAGGTGACAAGATAAATCAGGTTATTGGCCTCAGCTCCTATTGAATAATACCCCAAAGGCTATCTGATTACATAATTTTAAAGATATGTTTGACAATTGAGAATAAAGCATAGAAATTTTAGCAAGTATGTAGTGGGCTCCAGATCCCGTTTCAACCAATACGGTTGGAACGGGCCCGGCGTCACCCACATGGATGCGCACGGCACACACACACACACACACATGCGCAGCGTACACATGCATCATACCTGCCTGCAACACCTCTGCAAGACTCCGCGATGCTCCAGCTGCTCAGCGGAGCATCGCTTAGGCACTTTACGCACCAAGGCTTAAAGGACAGGTAAGGAGTTCAGGTGGGCAGATGGGCCATCCGGAACACCGTACTGGAAAGGTACCCGGTGCTTTGGGCAGGGTCTGGTATGCCCATACCGGAACGTACCGCCTGCAACCCACCACTGTTCTAGATACTCAGAAGGAAGAAAAAAATCATGAACTTCCAAAAGATTTTAGCAATCCTCATTATCATTTGAAGCAGGATTGGCAATGTAAAGTATATACTTGTCTTCATACACGTTATCTTAAATATACAGATGCAGGCTATACAAGGCTTATTATTTAAATGTTACTCAATATACAGAACAGCTACAAACAACATACAAAGAATTTTCTTAATAGATACCCAAGGGAAAAAAATAGTCCTAATCATTATAAAAGACCAACTGTTAAGCTACTTTTTATTGTTTGTTTAATATTTGTATTGTGTGTACTCGTATATATGTAGCTAAACAGAGATAGACACTATCTTAACATTAAAGTGAGAACATTCAAAATGGTATCAGCAGACAATAAAGATCTTCATATGCTTCAAAAATGATTTGGAATAAGGAGGTTGCACCTTCTGCAAACACACTTGTAACACCATTTATTAAAGATGTCCAGCTTTTTCCAGGCTTCCATGTGTTACAGTATGCAAAGTATGCAAAGTTGAATCTTTGTTAAACTGAAATTGTCAGGCAACATCAATAAATAATGAAAAAGTGCTGTGCTCATTATTATGTAGAGCCTGAATCACTCCTTCAATCATTTCTGAAGCATTCACATTCCTGGTAATATCTATACTTTACTATTTTATAAAATCACTCAAATACTTTTAGATAATTTATCATTTATAATCTTCCACACTTCTATAATAATTTAAAATTGTATGAAATTTATTTATATTATCTGTTCTGAATATTTTTTAACAAGAAAAGTCCATAGAGATTTTCAGTCATCCAGGTCATGGTTGTCCCAAAGATGCTTTTTCAGGAGGCAACTGGACTTTCTTGTTTTTTTCTTTGAAGATGTTTCACTTCTCATCTTTTGTGCAATCAAAATCTGATTTGATTGCATACTATCTGTCCTACCTTTTTGTTTTTATTTCTTCACATGTTTCTTATCCCAAGGGTACTTTTTTAGGAGACAACTGGACTTTCTTTTTTTGTTTTTGTTTTAAAGATATTTCGCTTCTTATCCAAGAAGCTTCTTCAGCTCTGACTGGATGGTGGGGAATGGAATGGAAGGATTTATATTTCTTGCAGAGTGGGTCACAAAGAGGAATCTTTAGAAGAACCTCCAAGTGCTTCAACAATCCTCTAAAAGTATGCAAATGACCAGCTGTCTGCAAGGAATATAAATCCTTCCATTCCTCACCATCCAGTCAGACCCGAAAAAGCTTCTTGAATGAGAAGCAAAATGTCTTTTTAAAAAACAAAATAAGAAAGTCCAGTTGCCTCCTGGAAAAGTACCCTTGGGATGAGAACATGTGAAGAAATAGAAACAAAAAGGTAGGACAGATAGTATGCAATCAAACCAGGTTTAAAAAATTTAGAATCTTATTCATCATCTTAATTATTTTAATATTTTTATTTGAAAAGAAGTAGATGTTCTCTTTGAAATGAATATAGAGTTAAAATATGCAATTGTACATACTGAAATTTAATCTTCAAAAATAAGTTTTACTACCTAGTTTATGTGAGTGGAAAA